TATTAAAAAATGAAGATTCCACGTTTGCTTCGATAAATAAAAAATATAGAAAGTAAACATACTACAAGCAATACGGTATAATTTATTAATTCACAAATATTTCAAACACTCCTGTGTTCTTACTCAGTGTGAGGACAACCAAAGATAATAAATACCAGAAGATAGAGCAGCTTCACAATATAGTGGAACATCCGTTCAAAAGGCATTGTGGGTACACGGAGAGCAATTTTACTGCAACCGCGCGACGGCGCTATATAAAAATAATAAAGGCGCTGCTCTTGTTCGCTTGTTTCCTTTAGTTTCTCCACATAGTAAAATGTTCAAATTTTACTGCAACCGCGGGAGGGCGAATGTTCCATCGATTTTAATGCAAATACGCGGAGCAGCTAATTCTTCTGCTATTTAAGTTCTTTGGGACAACTGACAAAAAATACAAAGTAAAGCAACATTAACACACGAAACGAAAAAAGAACATCGAATCAGCGGTAAAGAACAAAGGCGCGTAATAAAATGAGCATCCTAAACGTTCTACTTAATATGGAATAAACAAAGTAGATAACAGCTGGATAAAGGCCTAGGAACCAAGAAAAAAATTAAGTATATATAAATGAATAGTCTGATAAGTAATCTAAGTCTTTATTTAAACCGTTAAAATATTGGTTCTAAGAATCCACTTCAATTCTTCTTTGCGTCTATGTGAGAGGGATAAAAAGTTATTAGCGACAAAAATAAATCTTATGTCATTAATGCTATGGTTAGGTAGATTGAAGTGACAGGCTACTGGGAAACCGGTGGAGTTTTCTCTAATGGGTTTTTTGTGATTATTAAATCGGAGGCGGAATTTGGTGCCAGTCTGTCCAATGTAATTACTAATTTGACATTTTTACAAAATAAAATGTAAATAACGTTAGAAGAATCACAAGTAAGTGGAGGGGGTCTAATAGTAATATTAGTACTAGGAATAGTGAATGTGTCAGAGGTGCACATGAAATTGCAAACTTGGCATCTGGGTTTACTACATTTAACATTACCAGAAGAGTGGGAATTCTTATGGAGTTTAGAGGATGAGAGAATAGATTTCAAATTAGGGGGCTGTCTTTTGGCTAGTAGGGGAGGGTCTTCAAAAAGGTGGCAAATAGATTTATCTTTATTGAGAATTTTATAGTCAGTTTTAAGTTAACGGGTAAGAGAACTTATATTGGGATGGTAGTCGAAGACGAAATGAATGCGGTTATTAGTAATATCTTTGGGTTTAGAAGGGATTGTCGGGGACGGGTTGAGGCTTTAGGAATAGCTGATAGTATTAGTTTAAGGGGATAATCATTATTAAGAAAATGGCTAATAAGTATGCCAATTTGTTTGTCATAATCTTCCGAAGATGAGCAAATTCGTTTAATTCGTAGACACTGACTATAGACAATAGATTTTTTAAGGCTTAAAGGGTGGGAGCTGTGAAAGTTCAGAAATTCATGGTTATCAGTAGATTTAGTGTATAAAGAGGATGTGATTATGTTGTTAGTAGAGATGCCTACAAGAACGTCTAAAAATGGAATTTTGGAAAGCGAAGTTTCAAGAGTAAATTTAATTTTAGAATGGAAGTTGTTAGCATGTGATTTTAAAGCATTGAGGGTATATTCACCGTGGGGCCAAATGAAGAAAACATCATCAATATAGCGAGCGTATTGAAGGGGTTTAAGGTTAAAGGATGAAATAAAGCCGTCTCAATCTCGTGGATAACAACATTAGCATAGCTAGGAGCCATTTTCGAGCCCATAGCAGTCCCCTTGATTTGAAGATAGTGACTGTTGTTAAAAGTGAAATGGTTATGCGTAAGAATGAATTTAGTAATGGCATTGATATCATTAATATGTTCGGCTGGCACACATTGTTTAGAAAGGAAATTATTAAGTGCTTGAATACCTTTTTCATGAGGGATGTTAGTATAGAGCGAAGTGACGTCCATAGTGACTAGGATAGATTGGTTAGGTATATTAGTTATATTATCAAAGATTCTAAGAAAGTGCGTAGTGTCCTGGATGTAGCTAGAGATATTAGGGAGTAAGGGGTTTATAATGGAATAACAAGGCCAGACAGATTTTCAGTGAGGGTACCTATGCAGGAAACGATTGGTCTACCAGGGGGAATGATATTGAGCTGTTTGGATAAATTAAACATTTCAATAGGCTTAAGTGCGCTGACATTGTAGTTAGTATTAGACAGTGATTTTGATTTATTATAAGTTTAGGCAGTTTGTGGATTTTCGGGAGGGTATAAAACAAGCCAGGCTTGGGATTAGATGGGATAAGATTAGCAATATCAGAGTGATTATAATATTCTAATTCATTGATAACAACACTAAGATCGTCTCTATACATAATGGTCGGATCAGCAGTGAGAAGTTCATAAAAATCCTGGTTTCTAAGTTGAGACTCAGCCTCCTTTTTATAGTCAAATTTATTAAGGATGGTGACGCAGCCTCCTTTATCCGCTTGTCGGATAATGATATCAGGGTTGGACTTGAGTTCACTGAAGGCTTTGCGTTGTAATTGTGAGATGGTTTAGAATTAATGTTATTATTGATGAATTGATCCAAATGCATTTTAGCAGTATATATAACGTTGTCCTCACACTGAGGAAGAACACAGGAGTGTTTGAAATATTTGTGAATTAATAAATTATATTGCTTCTAGTATGTTTACAACTCATAGCTGTTTTTTATTGCTGTCTTTCTATATATTATGTATATATATAAATATATATATATATAAATATATATATATATATATATATGTGTGTGTGTGTGTGTGTGTGTGTGTGTGTGTACTAAGTGTGGACTAATATATACTATATTTCTTATAAAGCTTCAACAATTGCATAGAAAGCAATATATACGACAGTTTCAATTTATTCACTGAACTGAGAAAGCAGTTGGATAATGACTCTTTCCATCCGATTATTGAATACCAAGCACATTTGTGTTTCCAGAGGAACATGTTACAATTTCAAAGGTAATTTAGTTTAAAGTACTCTAGCTTTCATACGAATTGTCACTTGGTGAATTTTGCTAAACTTCTAATTTTTGGTGTCCAATTATTATTATTATTATTATTATTATTATTATTATTATTATTATTATTATTATTATTATTATT